TGCTCAAGCAGAGAAGCTAAGGGACCCTCCCACAGGAGTAAACAGCAGCATTCCCAGGGGACACTCTGTGTTGGGGGGAAGTGGGACCTCTGGCCTCCCCACATGGCAAGGCTGCCTGGGTGCCTGGGGTTTCAGGCTGGAGTGAAGAATGTGGAGGAGCAGCTCCACTCCTGGCAACATTACAGCTTCTACTCAGGTGGCTCCAGCAGTCACAGTGGTCCTTGAGCCACAGGGTGTCCTGGCCCAATGTTAACTTATCTAGCAGCCTCAGCAAATGAGACTGCTACCCACTCATGACCAAGTAGAGGAGTCCTTCCTCTTCCTTCCTTCCTTCCTTCCTTCCTTCCTTCCTTCCTTCCTTCCTTCCTTCCTTCCTTCCTTTCTCCTTCCTTCCTTTCTCCTTCCTTCCCTCCCTCCCTCTCTCTTTCCCTCCCTCCCTCCCTCCCTCCATTTCTCCCTCCCTCCCTCCTTTCCTTTCTTCAAGACACCAGAACCATTTTCTCAGGTCTTAACTGGACCTTTCGTGTCAAAAGAGATCTATGTAAGGCCCCGCAGCTCAGCCCTGGGGCACAGGTGGGACATGTTTCAGGGATGAAAGTGAGTTCGGAATCTACTCAATCTAGCTGAACAGGCAGCTAATTTCCTTAAAGAAGTTTCTACATAATGACCCTGGAAAAGGGGGTCTCTATGACCCTGGCAGACAACAGGCAGCATATTCACCCACACATTCCTTCAAAGGAACAACATTCCCTCCCATTGTTTTCCTAATGGGTAACCTGTCAGCCTTCTAGGAAGGCTCTCTTGTGAGTACACAGCCCTAACCCATGTCAATTAGCTTAATGGAAAGCTTCCTTGGGGCTTAATCAGAAGCCTTTTCCATGCTTTGTTGGGGGACCTGGTTGAGACCTGTGGTCCAGTGTAGGGTGGGACCTGGTTGGGACCAGAGGTCAGGTGTTGGTGCCCTTCCCTTATCCTGCAATTCACCTGTTGAGTTCTTCCTTAGTCTGCGAAAGAGTCTGGACCATGGATAAGCAGAAAAGCGTGGTTCATAGGAAGTATCCAGAATACTAGGGAGTGCTTTTATCTCTATGTGACTACCAGATTGAATGATGTAATAGCATCAAGTTGATCCTGTCCTACTCTTGCATAAAGCATACATATGACCCTTGCATATGACCCTTGCTTACTTTTTGTTTTTCCCTCTGATGTCAGCTTTAACCACAGGGAGATCTAAGTGTACAGCTGGAAAAAAAAAAGTCTGGCATTCACATGGGTTCTTTCACAAGCCTCTATCTTCTCCCCTTTAAAACTTACTTCAAACTCCTTTAGAGATGTAAATTTCACATTTGAATGAGACTACTTGATTGTTAAAAAATTCTCAGACTGTTGAGTGTCCATGGCACTTGGAAAAGTGTTTTCTATTTTTCCATGACCTCACACCATGGTATGTGTACACACTTGTGCTCAGCAACGACTGAAAGAATGTGATAAAGTTCCTGCCCCCGAACAATGCACGAACAAAAGGCTCTTGTGGTCTGGAACACCTCTCTCTCTCTCTCTGTCTGTCTGTCTGTCTGTGTGTGTGTGTGTGTATGTGTGTGTGTACAGGTACATGCATATGCCTTTTCATATAAGCATAAACTGGAGATCAGAGGTCGACATCAGGTTTTGTCTTTCAGGATGTTTTTGAAGACATGGTCTCTCACTTTCAATTTTTTTTTTTAAGATTTATTTATTTATTTATCTACCTATTTATTTATTTATTGGGTGTATAAGAGTGTGCTCACATGAGTTCATGTCTACCATGTCTATGCAGGAGCAGGAAGTAAGAAGAGGGCATTAGATCCCCCTGAAACTGGAGTGACTGGCAGTTGATGCTAGACACTCTACCCAGGTCCTCTGCAACTGCAGTAGGATGGCTAATCTTGGTCTTGGTTGCCTACTTGACTACATCTGGAATCAACTAAAACCCCAGTAGTTGGCCACGACTGTGAAGGATTTTTTGATTGGATCATTTGAGGCCATAAGACACACATTAAACCTTAGCCAAACCCTCTGGTGGCTTTCTCTGGTTTGAGACCCTCTCTCCACCTGGTTTATGACCAGTATCCCCTTCTGTTGCGAACCTGAATCCTTTTGACTCTTCTAGGTGGCCCAGAGAAACCACACACACACACACACACACACACACACACACACACACACACACACACACACACACACACACCACCAACAACAAAATAAAACAAAACAAAAATCCCCTCCACCTGTCCCCTCCAGGAGCATGAACACTTGCTTGTTTTGTTGCTTGACTCCTGCTCACAGCCAGGGTTGGTAGTCCTTGCGTGGAGGTGGGAGGGGCTGCGCCTCTCATCAAGGCCCTCCCTGCCATCTAAGGGGAATGCACACAGGGAGGGGGAAATAATTCCTCCAGGTGAGCATCCCCTTGCTCCCTGCTTGCTCTAAGCAGCCCTGAGAAGGAGAGAAGTTCCTCTGGACTAAGCTGAAAGAAAAGATAAGTTTCCATTCCTTTTCATGATTTATGTCACTTTTAAAACCAACAATCCATATATAATTGGGAAAGTCCATCATTATCTTAAAAAAAGAAAGGAATGAACATTCAACACACAATTTGAGATGACATTTTCCCTGACTTGACATGAACTTTCTTCTCACTAGGATGAAAGACACACACACACACACACACACAGAGAGAGAGAGAGAGAGAGAGAGAGAGAGAGAGAGAGAGAGGGAGGGGGGAGGGAGGGAGGGAGGGGGAGGGAGGGAGGGAGGGAGGGAGGGAGGGAGAGAGAGAGAGAGAGAGAGAGAGAGAGAGAGAGAGAGAGAGAGAGAGTCACTCACAGACACATTGGGCTTATTTGTACTTCTCTGCCCATTCAGGGATGATGAGCTGTTTGAAGCCCAACTCTCACCCTAAACAGTTATTACAGTCATTGAGAAATACACTATGGGTAGAATACCATTAAGGACCCTAAATGATCACTGAATGATCCACACAGAAGAAATCTAAATGACATTACAAAAATTTTGAGAGCTGACCTGCCAAGGAATCACATGGGATGATGAAACCTGAATCTAATAAAGTTAATTATTTGCTAAATTAAAATAAATTAATAGAAATTAATAATTAATAAGACCCAAGGCTCTTATGAGGTACCATTTAAGACCACCAAAGGGCCTAGGGATGTTTTATAACTTAGGTGATAGAATGCCTGCCTAGTATGTATGAAGCCCCCTACTTGACCATCAGATTCACATAAATTGGATGTGGAGGTGCCCCCTTATTTCTAGCACTCAAGAGGTAGATGCAAAAGAATTGAAAATTCAAGATCATTATCTACTACATAGTGAGTCTGAGGTTTGCATGGACTACATGAGATCCTGTCTCTAAAAACTAAAATCATTTAACTAGCCAATAAATCACAATTGTGCATGATAGTTCACTCCTATAATCTCATCACTCAGTACTTGGGAGGCTGAGGCAGGAGGACTTCCATCCATTTGCAGCCAGCCTGAGCTACATAGTAAACTCCAGGACAGCCTAAGATAGAGTCATACCTTATCTAAAAGAAAGAAAAAAATGTTGATTTGAATAAAACTTAGTACTATTGCCAGGTGTGTGGTGTATTCCTTTACTTCTAGCACCCAGGAGTTCACAGCTAGCCCTGTCTACAGAGCTACTTCTAGGCCAGCTAGAGTTACACAGTGAGAGACCCAGTCTTGTACAAAAATGAAATGCAAAAAACAATGAAAAACACCAAAAACATTATTAGATTAAATTATTTAAAATAAATTGTAAGAACGAGATGAATTTTACATTTATTTGATCTTGGTCCAAAGAGTATTTACGTTTTATTAATGGCAAAGCTGCACGACCAGAGCCACCAAAAGTACAAGAGTGCCATCTACTGGTCATCACATTAGCTAGCAACATGGTAAAGCTGCACAGAATAGATTGTGTACCTCAGTATAGATTACCTAAACTATGAAAGAAGGATGGAATAAAAGCTGAGAAACATGATATGGAATTTTCTAGGAAACTGAAAAATACATTCTCAAAGTTTATTCCAAGTATATTGTTAATTGTAAAATAAAATGGTATAAAATATTTTCTCAGTCCCCATGCCTCTTTTCCAGAGTAGAAATGAGACATGGATATCAACAACCATAATATATGCACATTTATGTGCAGGGTGTTTAGAATCATTCAATATTTGAACACATTTTGAAAGAGTTATTTTAGTATGTTGAAATCTATGTCTTTGTAATGTAGTCTAGTTGAGGTGTACCAAATGGTCTTACACACACAACTTTGACTCTTATGACCTTTCAGGGAAAAAAAAAAAGACAAAACAAAAAACAATAGTGATAGCAAGAACAATGGTTAAGTTGATGTAATTTTTAGTTCTTTTTTTATTCAGTTAAAAGACACTGCCATTAGTTCTTCTCTAACACAAAAGTTTGCTGCACATCGAAAACAACAATGTAAAGACTCAAAATTTCCATCCTGGAATCATTTTATCACAACTTAAAGAGTACTGAAAGTCCAAGTCCTGAGCCCACAAAAGGCAGTGGTTCTCCAAATGCCACTACCCCCTTTGCAAGCCTCTATCTCCAAAGCAATCACATTATGATTCATAATAGTAGCAAAATCACAGATATGAAGGTGCAACAAATATAATTTTATAAATGAGGGCCACCACAACATGAGGAACTGTATTAAAGGGTTGCAGTATTAGAAGTCTGAGAATCACTACACAAAAGGGAAGGAGAAGAAAAGATACAATTGTCATGATTATATTGCTTTCCTTTCACTGAAGCTGACCATGTATGGTATTTTTAGCCTTTCAATCAATAAAATCATTGCACATTTATTGAAGGTTCACTAAAAGCATTGGAATAGCAGTGAAGAAAAGCATTCACGTTTTTGCCTTGTGGGATGTATGCATTTCTGTGCTACTTAAACTGTGGGACTTTCTTTATCTCTTCCCTTGATCATTTCTGGCAGGCAGAAACAAAGGAGAAACTTCATAAATCTGGAAAAAGAGCCTCAGAGTATCCCAGAAGGAATCCTTGGGGAAGGGGAAGGTTAAGATATAGGAGCCAGTGCTTATATTATAAAAAGATCCAGCTTTATAGTTTAGAAAAACTCCCACAAGCTGGGGGCTTCTCACTCAAAGGGGATTAGGGGAGGAAGTGAGAGCTACAAGGGCATCCTCTTCACACATCTTGGTGGTCCAGAATCCCAACTCGGGCTCATTCTTCATGTCAAAGCCCCTCCACACATCCTCTGTATATACTCCCACATCCCAAGTGGTTGCATTCTCAACAGACACTTCGAAGTAATATCTACCTGAAGTAAAGTCCTTACTGCCCAGGACACAGGGTAAAATATAAAATCTCTTGGCAGAAGCCCCACGCTTCTTGTGGCATTGTCTGTAAGTCACTTGTCTTCGATCTTTAGACAGCTGATGGGCTGTGCTGGGGTCCAGAGTCACACTGACTGTAAAACATCCACAACCAGTCTTCTGGAAGCTGGAAACACAATACTTTACAAAGAAAAAAGTGTGTGCTCAAATCTGGGCATGTTTTCAACATTAACCCCTACCTATGCAAACTATACATAAAGTAACTATAAGGGGAAATCATTATGCATGCCTATTGTAGACATAAATGGGGAGAGTTAAATTAGTTAATGTTTGTCTGGGTTATGGTACATTTCTAGTAAGCAGTAGCAATAATACCATCAACCCCAGCATCTTGGGTCATTTAGAGATGCCAAGGATCAGAACTATTTGGAGTGATCCTGGTTCTGTTCTGCCCCATATCCTCCTGAATTTGGAACTTTTAGTATTTCTGACATTGATCAGAGAGCGAAAGGAACCCTTCCCCTCTCTGCTCATGTTTTATACAAACACTTTCTCAAAAGAAAACAAAACACAAATAAGCAGAAAGCACAAGCAAAATAATCACCAGCTGAAAAGAGAAACAAAATAAATAACTTTCTTAAACTTTTGTTGACAAGGGGTTTTTGAATTTTGTTACCAAGGACAAGAAGCCATAGGATGTATCAAGCACTGAGTAGCAGAACTGAGCAGGAAGCTTGTTCGCTGGAATCAGAAGCACTTCAGCTTTATCTTGTATCTAACATGTGCATTCATTATCTGAGAAGAGTCCCTGTCTTAGGGTTTTTATTGCTGCAGAGAGACACATGGCCACAGCAACTCTTATAAATGAAAACATTTCATTGCAGTGGTTCCTTTACAGTTTCATAGACTCAGTTCATTACCATCATGGTAGGGGACATGGCAGCATGTAGGCAGACTTATGATGGAGAAAAAGCTGAAAGTCCTACATCTTGCAGGCAATATGAAATTGGCTGACATACTGGCAAGTATCCTGATTATAGGAAACTTCACAGTCTACCCCCACAGTGACACACTTCCTCCAACAAGGCCATACCTACTCTGGTAAAGCCACACTTTCTAATAGTGCCACCATTCCCTTTGCGAATTATTTTCTTTAGAAACAACCAACCCCCTAAAATCATTTCCAACATACTACATGCTGATTAGCTACTGTGGTACTGTGGTACGAATGGACCCCACAGATTCATATATTGGAATGCTTGATCCCCAGTTGGTAGAAATCTTTGGTAAGGATTAGACCAGATGGCCTAGTTGGAGGAGTTGTGCCACTGGGGATGGGCATTGAAGTTTCAAAGGATTCTAGCCATACCCAGTCCCCACTTTCAAGAAGATGTAAACTCTCTGCTGTTCCTGCCACCATGTCTGTGCTCTGCCATCATGGACTATAACCCTATGAAACAATAAACCCCAAATTAATAATAGAAAAGCAGGACTTTGATAGGCCTGTACAGAGCTGTACATAGTATGCAAAGCATGCTAAATACTAAAAAGCAAGAATGTGATAGCTCCTCAAAAACAAGCGAGTGACTAGATCTTCAGATGTGAGTAATATCTTGGATCAACTGCAAAATCAGGAAAGTAAAAATGGACCATTTCTGGGATGGAGAGATGTTGGGGAGCAATAGAGAGGGTGATAGCAGTGTATAAGTGATCTAATTGGGGAGAAGGGAAAGGGGGTCCTTTGGGGAGGGATGAGGGATTTAAATCCAGAAGAAGGAAGGAGGATGGCAAAATAACAGTAAGGAAGTCTTACAAAGGTCAAAAGGAATCATACTATTAACTATCTTTAATTTTAAAACACTGTAACACAAGTAATTCTGTATATAAGTATAGATACATAGTTTGAGTGAACTTTTCTCATCTGGGTTGACAATATTTTCTTTAAGAGCCAAAATGGTCTAACAAAAACCACAGTGCCAGACATGAGAAGCCCTCTTGAGTTATTGATCAGGGTAGGTCAAGAGATTTCCAAAACATACAGCCTATTGCTATTGCCCTTTGCTGTCCCCCATAGGCAGAAGGTAAGTCCCTATTGTTGAAGACACCGTGAACTTCAGACACAGGAATAAGAGGCCTCTGGTCCACAGCTGACCTGAGTGCCTCTTCCCTAAGGACTAGCTTTCATGGTACCAAAAGGTGTCCTGCAAGCTTCCAAAGGAAGGAAGCAACCGACAGTCCTACCTAGCAATGGTGCCCCTGAACTGAAACAATGACCAATATTACAAAATAACCATAAGGGTGTAGTAGGGTCACACATACCCTGGTAGTAACCAACAGCTCTCTAATTGGACTTAAGACCCACTCAACAAGAGGGAAACCATGCCTGGTACTACTCACTGTTAGTGAAGTCATGGATGGATCTTGGGGGAGAACCCACAACCACCCTTTACTAAACCAACACAGTCCCTAACTAAGTCTAAGTATTTATCCTTGCACCCACAGATAAGTGTAAAAAAAAATAAGTAAGTGTTGCAGAAGGAGGCGAGGCTGGCTCCTGCTTAAGATCCTTCAAGCCGTAGTTCACACAACTACCTTAGTGGTGTCTCAACATTGTCTTCACATCAAAGTATAGCTCAGAAACATTACGTGTAGTATGAACCTTCAGGAAGTCAACCTTCAGTGTTTCTAGTTTCATAGCCTCACACCTAGGAGAAACAGAAGATGTTATATTACAGTCAGCTCTATATACCCTGACCCCTTCTTTTGGGTGTTAATGCAAGACTTACCTGCTCAAAGTATTTTTCACGGAAAAAAAAAAAAAAAGAAAAAAGAAAAAAGAAAACACAAGCAAAAGGTGATTGTGTTTGCATTTTGTCTCATGGAGTTTTCCATTTGAAGCTACTTTCTGAATAAACCCCTCCCTCTCACAGAAGGAATAAGAATCATCTACCATCCCATAAGATGTACACAACCGAGGAATGTTTTACATCCAGTCTCTGGCCAATAAAGTGGGAGCTTGCTTCTCTATTGTAGAAGGCTGTGGGCCTGTAAAACCTACAACATAGGCTTCTTGGAATGGGAATTAACAACTTTGCTCATCCTTCTTCTGACAAGACTGCTTTTGGTGACTAAATTTCCTTCAGAGAATTCTTATTAAAGATAACAAGTAACACACGTCTCTAGGGGTAAATCCACACACAACTCCTGAGACTGGACTACTGAAATGGAAAAGCAGGTATCAGATTGGAGTGGAGCTATATACACCATTGTCAATATCATGCTGTAACAAGCAGCCCCAGTAGAGGAAGGTGAACTCAGAGTTCCAGATGTTTATCTTGAAGGGAGGGATACAGTAATCATGCAGCTGTGAATAAGTTCTGGTTCAGGAACCCTTTAGGAAGTCATGGAGTTGGTATTATTCTCGTATGGGTCTTCACTGTCACCATTTGTCACGTGGAAGAGTATTTTAAGAATGAATCTGTCAGATACTGCAGTGGATAAGCTAGTGTGAGCAGGATGGCAGAAATTATCCCATTTAGTTATTCCATGTTCATCCAGAGGAAGTGATTCTTTCTAATTAACCTAAGGATCCTGTAGACTAGTGGAAGTCACCTGATGCTTCTCAAAAATGACCCTAAACTTCCCACTCCAATATTACTACCATTCTGAGTTGAGGCAGGCCTCACTCCATGTTCCCTTGCCTGCTATGAGAATCACATGCTTTCTTTCCCAACTCCTAGCCCACACCCTTACCTGTAGTATTTTCCTGAATTTGGCTTTCAATATTCTCATACTTCTGTTGTAGATTGGTCTCATTGCCTTTTAGTCTCCTTAGCACCTGTTCTTTAGTCTCCAACCTCCAAAGGCAAGACTTCTTCATGTAGAAAACTGTGGCAATTCTTGAAGTTAGACTGGATTCTTTGTCTCTGATCCTCAATGGCAGCCTAGAGTCAATGAAATCTGATCAAACACAGGAACACAGCTATATTTAAATTAACCACTAAATGAATAAACAAAATGTGGTATAGAAAACTCAACAGGGAGGAAACTTGACATCATCCTGCTAATTGAAATAAGTCCAAACCTTGGGAAATAATACTTTTACAATTACTTTAACTCAAATCACCAGTAGTGGTAAATTTCATAGACACAGATTACAGTGGTTATGAGGCATTGGGAGACAAGAAGAATGGTGATTCCTATTTCCGCTTGAAGAGTAGAAAAGTGTCCTGGAAAATATAGTGATAGCTATACAATAACAGCCACAAAAAGCTAATGTCCTCAACTGTGTAGTGAACCATGGCAAATTGTTAACCAAGGCAAATCTTATTCTACCTACATATCACCACCACCAACCCCCCCCCAAAAGAAAGCAGGATCAGCTATAGTGAGGTAAACTCCCAATCACTCAAACTGAAAGAATGCTTTAAGTTCCTACCTGCCACTCAGAGGTTGGTGGAGAAAGTGTCCCTTCTTCCTTAGTTAATTTAATTCCTGATTAATTTTTCTTCTGGTTCAACCATGATATGGGAGAAAGGTGGGGTAGCAACTCTAGAAACTTGAATTATAGAAGCAGGGCATTGCTCAAATACTTTATCAGTTGCAAGGGGAAGCACAAATTAGAATTTAATGAGTAAGAAGGCATCCCTGAGGCTGGTAGGAGTCCTTGCAAGCTGTAAAGAATACCGCTAAGAAGGAATTGTAAGACAACTACACTGGTACAGGAGACAGCTTAATTCCTGGAAAAGAAGGTACTGGTGTGTCTGGCTTTTGATAGGGTCAGGGACCATTACCCAGAAGCCCAGGGTCACTGTTCATTCCTAGGCATAAGAGAGCAAGACCCAAATTTTTATGTGATGGGGTTTGACCTTGGCTTTGAAGTCAGAGACTTGAAATGTACATGAATGCTCTCTGAAGTTGTTTCACTATCATGTTGTCATTGACAGGTCATTGATTTAAGATGAATGGACATTGTATGTGGGAGACAGGCACAGCTTTAGCCTTGATACAGATGAGGTTTTCCATGAGTATTAGATACAATTGATTTCCTCCTCCATTTCCCACAATCGGGAAAGAAGGGAAGTAAGGAAAACATGTTCGGGAAGTTCAAGTTAAAATCCATTTGTAAAGGAAGCTGAGGAAGAAATGACACTAGCTGTGGAAACTGACTCCAGAGTAATTGTTAAGTCTCAAACCCAGGGCAAATGACTAACTGGGGTGCCTTTTTAATATATCAAAGTAGACCTGGCCACCAGGTTCTCCCAGAATCCCTCAGTCTCTACCTGTTACAGGGTAATTTGGTTGGCACACCCTGCCCTCACCCTAAACTTCTGCAGCCCAGAAGCAAGGTCATATGAGCAAAGTGCATGTGGATTCAAGCTGTATACATTCACAACGACAAGGCATGCCTGGAAACACTATCTGAATAACAATTATAAGATAGTGGGAGATCTGAAATTAACCCACTCCTATTTAGTACACCTGGGAGGGGCAGGAAAGCACATTCCAGGAACAATCCTGTGTGTAGGGCTCAAGTCACAAGACTCTTGTTCTGTTACTCACAGCATTCAGAATTCTCCTCAAACAGCTTCATCCATGGACGGTGTTCCACCACTCAGACATTAACTTTCTGACCTTGTTATGATTGTCAGAATTCAGCCCTTGATCTCACCAGGTCAGAAACCAGTCTTTGAGAGAATTCAGCAAGAAGAGTCACTCCAGGCTGAGTATCATGAGGACAGAAAAGGAATCCTATGTGATGTCTGAGACACATGGGTATTGCTGTAAAACCTACATACCACAGCTGTAGATAGTAGGGCTTCAGCCATTGACATAGCTGAATGTACAGACTGCCTACATGTCTGAAGTACATTCTTTCTGAAAGTATATATAATATTCATTCCTTAGTAAAAAAAGAAAACAAATAAAAAGGGAAAGGCATGTCTGCTCCTAAATACGGTACAGAAGAAGGTTTAATGTGGATACGAGGAAGAGTATGACAAGAGGCAGAGACACCTAGGAGAGTCCAGAATGAACATGATCCTGACCCAGGACATATGAAGGGATGTAGGAGTGTAGGCATCTGGTCTGTGAACCTGTAATGGTGGCCACACCCATTTGGGTATGGCTTCAGGTGAACAGAAGTGGAAAGAGGGAAGCTTGAGGGATGACTTTCTTTTGCATGGTCTTTCTGGTGGGTCAGTCCATGCAGTAGACAGGGCAGAGAAACACTCCTGTGGTACTTTGTATTTTTATGTGTGTTTCCCAATAAACACCCATTTATCATTAATCTTGGGTCTAGTGAAATCTTTCCACCCATACCTTCAGAGGAGTGGAGAGCAAGACAGTCAAGAGAGTGAAGGGTGGACAAAAAGAGCCAAGATAACCAAAATGGCAGCTGCTTCTGAGACCCATCCCAGTTCTATACCTCCCCACTTCACACACACACACACACACACACACACACACACACACACACACACACAGAGAGAGAGAGAGAGAGAGAGAGAGAGAGAGAGAGAGAGAGAGAGGAGAATTAAAACAGAAATTCAACTGAACTGAAAATCAGGCTTCATTCCTCTTAAAACCAAAACACAGAGAACAGAGCCATAAAGGATTTCTTCAGAAATCTTCTGGTCACAGGCAAGATACTGACCCCATGGGACACAATTGGGCCTTCTCTGCCGGGACATACCACATTCTTGGTAAGTGAGCTTCCCCATTTCTTCAAAGACCCCAGCAGCTGAGCCTAAGCGTCACTCAGCTGTGTTTTCTGAGATTGCTTGTGTCACTTGAGAAGTAAAAGCAGACCTGATGTGAGGAGCCTTTTCAAAGCTGTGGAGAGAGGCTCTGTAATCTGGAGATGACACTCTCCACTCAGCTCCTGCCCCACATACATATTAGTCACGTGCAACTTCCTTCCCTCCAGAGTACACAGACTGGCATCTTAGGAAGACAGTCATGGATCTGGTACTGCCCTGCTGAGCAGTTCCAGGACAGCCAGGACTACACATTGAGAAATCAAGTCTCAAACAAAACAACCAAAATCAGAGCTTTAATCTAGAGGTTTTGCTTGTTTCTGATGGAATGCTAAATTATTACAATCATGGATTACTTTAAACTCCACTGATAGCTTGAGGAATTTTCTCCAAGTATATACAAAAGCTGGTTGACAGTTGATTACAGTTTTCTAGATGTCATGGCTATTTTTGTCTACATCTGGAATTAAGTAAAACCCATGGGCTTGGTAACACCTGTGAGGTTTTTTGTTTTTGTTTTTGTTTTTTTTTAAACTAAATCATTTAAAGTGAGAAGATCCATCTTTAATACAGACCTTTTGAGGTGTTAAAATCCACCTTTAGTCGGCCATGCCTTCTGGTGGCAGTTTATAAAAAGAACATAGAAGATTCAAAGTGGATGGCACTTGAAGAAACCTTCCTGAATGAGGTAACCCAGTCGCAAAAAAGAGGAACATGGTATGTACTCACTCATATGTGGATTTTAGACCTAGAGCAAAGGATCACCAGCCTATAATTCACACCACCAGAGGAACTAGGATACAAGGTGGATTCTAAGAGATTCATATAAAGTCCCTCACAGAAGGAGGAAGGGACAAGTCCCCCAGAGCACATGGGAAGTGGGGGGCAGTGAATGAAGAGAGAAGTAGGAGAAAGGAAGATTGAGTAAGGGTAGGAATAGAAAACAGGAGAGAGAGAGAGAGAGAGAGAGAGAGAGAGAGAGAGAGAGAGAGAGAGAGAGAGAGAGAGAGAGAAAGAGAGAGAGAGAACAAACAAACATAAAAGAGGGAGCCATTACTGGTTTGAAGAGAACACTGAACCTAAAGAAAGGTCTAGAGACTTGCAAGACTGTTGCCAACTAACAATTTGAGCAACCGTGGAAAGCTACCATAAATGCCCTTCCTGGATAGTGAGATCAACAACTAACTTATCCAACATCATGGAGCCCTCATCTAGTACCTGTTGGAAACAGAAGCAAACACCCATAACTAAACACTGAGTGGAACTAGAATCCAGATGCAGAGGGAGAGGACAAGACCAGGTTGAGAAACACATAGAGACAGCTGACCTGAACAAGGAGGAGCTAATGAGCCCCCAGACTGATAGCTGGGAATCCAGCATGGGACTGACTCAGGCCCCCCCTGAATATGGGTCTCAGCTAGAAGGACTGAGCAGTCTAAGGGACCTCAGACAGTGGAACCAGGATGTATTCCTGGTGCACAAAAGGACCTTGTGGACACATCCCTCATGGAGGGATACTGCCTTAACCTAGAGACAGGAGAGAAGTCCTAGTCTGTACTTCAAATGACTTGACAGATTTACTTGACCCCTCCTGGATGGCATTGCACTACATGTGGAATTGGGGTGGGGGGATGGGAGGGGAGGGTGGTCAGGGTGCATGTGAGGGGGCAGAGAGGGTAAGAGGAAAGGAAGGAGGGAGAGAGGGAGGGAGGGAGGAAGGGAGGGACAGGAAACTGGGATCGACATGTAAAATTAAAAAAAAAAAAAAAAAGAACATAGAGGAAGGAAGTTCTCTCCTTTATTTTTCTGCTTGAGTTCTATATTTCCGGCAAGTTCATTTCTTCATTGGATTGGTACCTACCTTTTTGGGATTCTAGAGTATTCCAAAGACCAACTGAGATATCCAGTTTCATGGACTAAACAACTACTGGATTTTTGGACTTTTCATTGGTAGACAGGCATTGTTAGACTAGCTGAACAACAGTCTGTAAGACACTCTAATGAATTGATCAGTGTGTGTGTGTGTGTGTGTGTGTGTGTGTGTTTTCTGTTTTGGTTTTTGAGATAGTGTTTTATGAGATATGAACAGAGAGGGAAAGGGCTCCTTTATATTCCATGATCAATGTCAGCAATCCTAAGAGTTCTGAATTCAGGAGGGTTTGGGGCAGATCTGATTGACCCAAGATGCTGATGATAGAGATGCTGGGATTGATGGTATTGTTAACACTGCTTATTCGGCTTGTACCATATTGCAGACAAACACTAACTCATTTAACTCTCCACATTTTTGCCTACAATAGGCACAATGATTTCACTTTATAGTAGTTATTTTATGTATAGTTTGCATAGCTAGGGTTTAAATGTGCAAATCATGCCCAGATTTGAACACACACTATTTTCTTTTTTTAATAAGCATTGTGTTTCCAGTTCCCAAAAGACTGCTTGTGGTTGTTTTACAGTTAGTGTGATTCTGGACCCCAGCACAGCCCATGATGACCTACCTCTGTCTAAAGATTGAAGACAAGTGATTTACAGATGATGTCACAAGAAGCTTAAGACTTCTGACAAGAGATTTTATGCTTTACCTGGGTAAAGCTGTGAGGACTTTACTTCAAAGTGTCTGTTAAGAATTAAACCATTTGGGATGTGGGAGTCTATACAGAGGATGTGTGGAGGGGTTTTGACATGAAGAAGGAGCCCGAGTTGGGATTCTGAACCATCAAGATGTGCAAAGAGGATGCCCTTGAAGCTCTCACTTCCATCCCTAATCCCCTTTGTCTTAGTGAGAAATCCCAGCCTGTGGGAGTTTTTCTAGACCTTGAGGCTAGAGTTGTATCTTTTCACAATGTAACCACTGGCCCCCATATCTTTACCTTTCCCAAGGCTTCCTTCTGGGATACTATGATGTTGCCAGATATTTGTGCACTGTGAGAAAATATATTGCTGTGATTGGTTTGATAAAGAGCTGAATGGCCAATAGCTAGGCAGGGAGAGATAAGTATTACTTCAGGGACAGAGAAGGCTCTGGGAAAAGAAGGTCAGATGGAGAAGAAACAGGAAGTGAAGATGAAAGAGAGGTAATGCTATGTAACAGAATGTAGATTACTATAAATGAGTAAATTTAAGTTATAAGAGTTATTGGAACAAGCTTAAGCAAAAGGCTAAGCTTTCATAATTAATAAGAAGTCTCAGTGTCCTTATTTGGGAGCTGGCTGGTGGGGCAGAAAAAGATATGTTATACTTGAGGCCTTTCCCCACAGGTTTATGAAGATTCTCCTTTGTTCATACCTGCCAGAAATGATCAAGGGAAGAAGTAAAGTCCCTACAGTTTAAGTAACACAGAAAAATGCATAAATCCCATGAGGAAGAAACTTGAATGCTTTTCTTCACTGCTATTCAAATGCTTTTAGTGAACCTTCAATAAATGTGCAGTGATTTGATTGATAGAAAGGCTAAAAATACCATACATGGTCAGCATCAGTGAAAGGAAAACAATAGTGGCAATTGTATCTTTTCTTCTCCTTCTTTTTTTGTGGGTTTTGGATTTTGATTTTGAACGCTCTTTAGGGTGACACCCAAGGTCAAAAGTTTTTGTCTTTCCTCTTTATTTGGTGTGCATCAACGTCCTGTGTGAGGAATGAATGAATAACAGTGTCTTAACTGAATAAAAGAACAAGAATTTAAAATAGCATTAACTCAGCCATTGTTTATTTTTTCCTTCAGGACACTAGAGTCAAAGCTGTGTGGAAGATCATTTGGTATACCTAAACTAGGCTACCACATTTCAAAGAAGTAGATTTCAATACATTAAAATAACTCTTTCAAATGCATTGGGATATTGAATCATTCTAAGCATAGTGTACAGCCTCTGTGTCCAGAGGAAGAAGTTTAAGATAACTATTGCTTTCTGTTAATATTGACAAGATTAAGAATGTACTATTGTTCATGTTTTGTCTACCTCAAGGGGGACATGAACTTGAGTAAGTCAACTTTGCATGAATTCTGAATGCAGGAAATACTTATTGGAAGGCTGCAGTAGAAGCTCTCTCCAACTCCAACTCACCTAAGCT